CCATCCTCGGAAAGTCTTGATCTAGGCACGATGTGGATGTCAAGCAGCGGTTTGGCTATCTGACTGGTTCGTGATCTTCAGTATTAGCACATAAGCTGTTGCGTGGCAGTGTTATTGGTGAAGCGGGAAGTTTTCGTCGAGCGCGCAGTTGCTACTGCTGTGAGATTTGATCTCTAAAGTGGCGGTGTTGGTGGTTGTACCTACTAGATTTTGGTAGGATTGGCGGTTACAGTACACGTACACCTGGAGCGTTTGCTGGTCAATGAGGCTTGGAGGCTTACCTATGTGCGTATTACGCCAGGATCATATGTACCCAGTTCTCGAAGGGTTAGACCTATCCTGCAGGTTGAAGCTTTAAGCATACCATGCCATTTCACAGGGATTCACTTCTCGTCGCGTGCTGACAAAATTGCTATCCGCCATGGCTGACACCATACAGGCGAAGGGATGGTGTTGATTGGGTCAGCGTCGCTGTGTGATGACGTGCCCCGCATCGATGATCAACGCAACCGTGGCATTGGCTCGCGACCAGGAAACAAGCCACCGAGCCTCGCAACATGGCGTTCCGATATCATTCTACATTTTGATCACCAGCTTACAAACCCATCTTACGGCGTCACAATCGTCGGCATCGCCTTGGAGGTGGCAAGCCAATGGGTACTCAGCAAGCGGGCAACACACGCAAAGATGCTGTGCATGAAGGAGAGATGGACTGCCCACATTCTTACCAAGTCAACTCGGCCTGTCCACGAAACCTCGAGTGGTCCGTGGAAATCCAACCTCGTATAGACGTATCGCATGCCCGAAGCAGCTTGTGAAGACGATAATAGCAACAACCCCCTGACTGGCAGACCAAGATCGACCGAACATGAAACCCAATGCTTGTGTCCCGCTTGCGAGTCTACTTGCTCGCAATTTTTCGTCGCGAATGGGCATGTGGAAATTGGCGTCAGGCCGCCTACAAGACCCACTATTTGCAGGGCGTGATCCGGTTTGCACTATACCAAATTAGGCGTATAAGATGGCCAAGACACGCGGCTGGGCTGAACACCGCCCCAGCGTCAGTGGTGGTTGTGCAATGAGGTATAGCTTCTGGACTTCACAGCCCTTCAATGGCAATAAAGATGCAGGACCCCTTCACCCATCCCACCAAGGCGCAAGTAGCACACGACCGATCAACGCCATAACGACATTCTTGACCTTCATGAAGCTTGATTACGCTTTTGGGTAAATCATGCAGAACACCGAAAGTGGGGAACACAAGGCAACACGCCAATGCTGGGAATGTCTCAAAAGGAGACTGGTCTGCGACCACACACTTCCAGGGTGCAAGAAATGCCAGAAAGCTGGTAAAGATTGTCCGGGGTATGGTGAGCAGAAACCGTTACAATGGATACAACCTGGCAAGGTGACCTCAAGACGGAGAAAGAAGGACTGCTCGCCCAAGATCTACACGGTGCCCGTCAGGGAAACCCTTAAATGCAGAACGTTTGAGTCTGAACTCAACGCAGTCCCCGAGTCGATCCGAGAACCACCAACAAGCGAATCTTTCTTCAGTCAATCACAAGCTTGGTCTGTGTTTCAACCATTCAAATCATCGAAAGTGGAAGAATGGGAATATCTTTCCGAACCCTACAAGGAAAAGGTTAGGCGTGAAGCTGCGTATAGAGAGGCATCAGATCGGGCTATGCTGGATCAAATGTTTGCTCTTGGTGGGACAGACAAGATTCAGTATATTGTTCGGAATGGGCTGGAGGATGAGGCGAAAGCGATGCTCAAGTTGGAACCTCATCCACTGAAGAAATTGGAACGACTTCTTCACTTTATACGATCGCATGATGTCCCAAGTTACGACTATTTGAGTAACGAGACTAGCGACATAGTTCAAGCCGTGAATTATTGTGAGTCTTCACATTGGAGCATTCAAGCTTTGGTTCAATCTAACGGTCGCCAAAGTTAATATTCGAATACTTCCATTGATGATGTTATCATCCTCCCTAGCCCCGAATCCGGCACTGATGAAGTTTCCTATGGGAGTTCTTTACGTCCTCCCTCCGGCGGTGCATCATACGCTGGTGTGCTTATCCCTCAATCATTATATTCACAGCTTACCACCAAGTGGGGTCGACAAGAGCATAGTAACAGCAAACAGATCGAAGATCATTCACCACCGTGGTAATGCAATTCGGGCTTTGAGTCAATATGTGAGCAAGGAGAAGACTAGATCCAGCGATATGTCCATTTCAAGCATTCTCGTCTTCATGAGCATGGAGGTAAGTTTCAATCTGTTTGATAATATGTGACAAAGATGCTGATGGATGTAGCTGCAAAATCCATCCATGGCCGATTGGCGATCTCACGCCGGCGGCTTGAATCGGCTGATCGATTTACGTGGTGGCTTGCGGAAGCTGATGAAAGAGTCGCCATACCTTGCGCCGACATTAGCTGTCTTTGTCCTGTAAGTGAATTTGACTTTATCCACCCATAACTGATCAGCTAATTACAATACAGGATCTTGACCACCGCAAACGCATGTAGTCCTTCATGGGACCAGTTAGACCTATGCGGAGACCCGGACCAAAACATCAAGGACATTGAGTCGGTATACAACATTCTCTTCCCATACATACTATGCCCTCCGGCTTTGTTCTTTGACATCATCCGCATATCACACCTTCGTCAGAAAGCCTCGACGGTTTTGTTTTCTGGCGACATGGACACCGCTCATACATTAGAAGCCCACGACTTGCTCACGAGGATCGAGGCATTTAGTCCAGAAGACTGGGCGCAACCTGGCGAGCACTATGATGACTGGCTACTCATTGGTACCATTTACCAGTCAGCTGTCGCAATTTACTGCACCATGGCGTTCCAATCCTTGACACTCTTTCCCAGCACAATCGAGATGAACTCAATGCGCAGCGTACACGGAGACCGACTATTGGAAGGCTTGCGCACGGGCATGAAAACACACCGCCTTATCAACTTCATGATGTGGCCACTGACGGTCGCTGGAGTGGAAGCTGGCCACCGCGATGAAAGGACCCGGTACTGGATCGGAGCGCAGTTGATGGAGTTGAGCCGGCACCTGGGCACGGGTGGACCCCTCAAAGGCCATGCAGTGCTGCGACGATATTGGCAGAAAGAAGAGCCTGGTTGGGATGAGTGTTTTGATCGACCGTACGTCTGTATCATATGAGCAGCAGGTCTGCACATTTTTCGAATGCTAAGTGTCGGCAGAGAATCTTGTGTCGCACCGTGGATGGGGGGTTAGCACGAAGACGAAAAGAACATGATGCATTTAGAGTAATGCCTCTGCTAACAGAAAGGCATACAAACGTAAATTTTCCCCGGCATCAATGCGTCCTGACACCAAGCCTTGCAATCTGCTGATAGCCCATCATGCCCTTGAGATTAGCAAATCAGATTCATGAGACGCTCCTGTCAAGCTGTCCGTCAAATGTGCCAAGCGCATCAACAATCTTGATTGCTACGCTAAGAAGGATCTATCCTCTTGGGTTCATGAGATCTTTCGCTTCCTTTCTTACAGACACCACGATATCAGCCGCGCTATCAACCGTATTGACCAAGCCTACACCAGTACCTGCCCAAATCGCAGCTCGACCTTGCAGTCCGGTATTGAAGCCTTTGTCTTCCATAAGAATTGCAGCATTGTGCTGTTCTTGAATTTTAGCAAGTTCTATGCCATTGGTGTAGTCCTTGTGGCTCTGAACCACCAGACTACGACCGTCATACAGCCCAGGCCATATATTTGGGCCACGAAGCTCATCGAAAAGCTTAGAACGTGTGGTGACTTGGCCGCCATCTTTTGCTTCGAGCACTGCCGCTTGGTACTTGGGGTGTACGACCACTTCCTTAGAACCGAGGAAGCGAGTTCCCATGACCACGCCCTGAGCCCCGAGTAAAGTTGCAGCAGCCACACCTCGACCGTCGACAATGCCACCCGAAGCCACGACGGATATATGAGCGAAGCCTTCACGTGCAAGAGTGTCGCAAGTCTCGGGAACCAGCGATACGATGCCTGCGCCTTTCTCGAAACCATGGCCACCTGCGTCTGCACCCTGAAGACAGAGCACGTCCGGCTTCGCTGTCCTGGCAACATGCAATGCTGCGGCAACGCTACCGACTTGCACCCAGATCTTGCTTGATGGTGAAGCTTGACGCATCGAAGTAGCCCACGTTGCATAATCGTCCAGCTCTTTTGATGCGAATAGCCATACCACTGCGGGCCTGTACTGTTCCACGACAGGCAGGGCGTCCTCAAGCTTGAGCAGGAATGGTAGAAACCCAACTCCAACAGGCAGTACATCAAGCGACGAAAAATGTGGTGCTGCTGCTATTTCCTTTGATGCGATGCGCAATTCATTACGAAGTGCATCCATGTCGAATGCACTGCCAATCATTCCTAGACCACCACAACGTGTGACGGCGGATGCAAGTGTGCCTCCTGCAAAGCCCGCCATGGGTGCGTTGATGATCAAAGGCAATGATGCCCATGGAAATGAATCGTGAAGCTTTGCCATGTCTGATGAAGAGATATGATGCGAGCCGATCAGACGGCAAAGAAGATTGTTATGGGCAATCCTGCTGACGTCTGACTCATTTCTCACATACTTCTACTTTCGGTTTTCGTGCTCAAAGAAGCTTTTTACCTCTCCTGGAACCTTTTTGACGGCACTGACATGGAATATATTGGCGCGTAAGAGATATGCTTGAACATTGAACCAGTAGTACCATGCCGGAGCCTTCGATCACCGCTACAGCTATATGCACACCTTAAGGCCGGGGGATGTTGATGAGGGGTGCTGACCGAGCTTGGTCGGAGACGTGTCATCTCAGATGTGGGGCGAAGTAAACCTCAGCCTAATTAAGATTCAAAGTCCTCCACTGTACGAGGCATAATTTCACGTCTGCCAGGAAGCCAATTCAAAACGTTTATATTTTTTGTAATCTACCACGTTTCCATAATCAGAACAATTGGTTCGATGGTGTAGTTGGTTATCACGTTCGCCTCACACGTCTGTCACGTGACCGTGCGCGAAAGGTCCCGAGTTCGAGCCTCGGTTGAATCATCTTTTTGCTTCCTTAATCCTTTTTGCCGTCTTTGACCTCTTGTTGTTGTGCGCATGTCGTCTATAAGACGAGGGTTTTGAAACATCGGAGTGTTTTTTTTTAATCATGTATGTGACAATACAGATCAGAAGTGATCGTACAGGATGAGTACGACCGCTGAGGCTGTTTATTTACCATTCTCCAACTTGCAAGGCAGGAGGCGGGCCGCCAGTCGTGCTCTACTACCCTGGTAGGGTACCCCCAAGTGCAGTAGGCTGGAGCCCGCACGTCTTACAAGTCACCATTGAGCTTTCACAGTCTCGAAGGTACGGAGGTTTTCGGCAGACTGTGGAGAAAACGCTGATAACCCTGGTAGCCTTTTCGGCCACGCTGACGCTTCAACAGTCGCTCTGATTGACCCCGCACTCCTCTGATCAAGGCCTCAAGCATGGGTGACAACAACCGACGCGGGTCGACTTGCGGCTTGTCAAGAGTCAGTCTTCACGAGTAATGGAAGAGCTTTGCAGACCCAGAAGCCACAAGCAGGAGGCGAAGCTTTGCGTTACCATGGCCTTGGAACGTCTTGTGTGGCCGTGGCCATTTGCTCGAACGTGACCTGCGCAACGCGATCATGCGCATGCATGGTATATTGTCCTGTAACTTATCACGATGTGCCTGATCAAGGTGCATTGGCTTACATTGACAATGCAATAGTGCTGTAGACGGGCACGCACCCCTGTCAATCTACCCCGGGATTGAGCCCACAATGACGAGCTACGTTGACGAATCCTTGTGTGCAAGTCGCCAGAGTCTACTTCCGTGGAGCAAGGGCCCTCGATATCATTGAATCGATCAAGATAGCTCGTTGATCCGGGAGCGAGGCATCTACCGGAGCCGAGAAGCGCAATGTTCGATCATTGCTGCTTCATGTCTTACCCTCTTTCCCCAACATTTGCTCAGACCACTTTGAGAACTTTCAGCATTTGTTGTGCTCAATTATCTGCAATCGATCATGACTTCCGAAGAACAACTCAAACATCCATCAAAGCGCTCACAGTTCAATGCATATAATTTCCTAGTATGCTTTCTTGTCAGTCTCGGGCAGATTGCCTTTGGGCACCCTGCCAGCATCATTGGGACCACCTTAGGCGAGCCGCCATTCCATGTGTATATGGGCTTGGTAGATGAGCAGGGCAAGCCGACAGCCAATTCGACGAGTCTCATTGGCACAATGAATGGAATATTCCAGGTAGGCTTCAACTTGCTGTGTAATTCTCCTAAAATCCGGGAGAAGATGCTGAAAGGGCATAGGCAGGTGCTGTCCTCGGCATCCTTTCCTCCTCTTATATTATGGACCGCTGGGGTCGGAAAGCTGGTATCTGGTATTGTGCCTTCTTCAGTCTCGTGGGCGGGGCCCTACTCTGCGGTGCGCAGAATGTAGGGATGTTCATCGCAGCTAGGTTTATCGCGGGATGGGGCAGTTGGGGCTTTCTTGCCGTCAGTAAGTACTGCCATTCACTACACTGAAGTAACGTGTCCTGACGCTTGCTGTAGCACCTACGTACTCTGCCGAGCTCGCACCCCCAGGACTGCGCGGCTTCTTTGTCGGCATGAACGGCGTCAATATTGCACTGGGTTATGCCATCGCAAGCTACATGGGCATGGCCTTCTACTTCGCCGAATCCGATGCTGCTAAATGGCGTGGCCCGCTGGGCATCGCACTGATCTGGCCCGCTATGATGATCGGCATCACCTTCATTGTACCAGAGTCGCCACGCTATCTCCTGATGAAAGGTCGCATAGAAGAGGCGCGCGCCATTGTCATGAGACTGCACAGCATCAAGGGCGATCCGGACCAGGAGTTTGCAAGAGGTGAATTCTATCAAATGGTCAAACAAACCGAGGTCGACAGGACATTGGACCCGGGTTGGATCGCCATGTTTACCAAGAAAGCGTATCGTCGTCGTACAGCACTAGCGATGGGCTTTGCATTTGTTGGACAATCCACGGGCGTTCTTGTGATCAACAACTACGGCCCCACATTGTATGCCACGTTAGGATACGATACGTGAGTCCAGATTCCCAGATACATCGCCACGTATTCTTCGCTGATCATCGACTAGTAAGCAGCAACTTGAACTTCAGTGTGGCTGGATTACTGTTGGGATCATCTTTAATGCTGTTGGTGCAGCGTTCATGGACAAAGTCGGTCGGAAACCGCTCATGCTCTTCGGTGTGGGTGGCTGTTGCGCTTGTCTGATTGTCGAAGCAGCTATTGTAGCTACTTATGCAGACGAGGCGACGAATAAGGCGGCACTCGCAGCCGGAGTAGCCATGTATGCTATTTTCTCACCATCAGGTGATCGTTTCGCTAATACTTTGGCAGGTTCTATCTCTTCCTCGCGGTATACAGCATGGGTGTTGACGTCGCTGGCGTTGTCTTCTATTCCGAGCTCTTCCCCAACCACATCCGAGCGAAAGGCGTTTGCCTCAGTATGGCTACCGTTGCGCTCACCGACCTCGTTTACTTGCAGGCAACCACCACGGCTTTTGCCAATATAGGATGGCGCTTCTATCTCGTCTTTATCATAATTTGCGGTGTTGGCGTCGTCGGGTCATATTTCGTAAGTCATCGCTCCCAGGCACGCTTGCTATCCGCCGTTTGGGTACAACACTGACATGTTCCATAGCTGCTCCCTGAGACGAAAGGCATACCCCTTGAAGAAATGGCTCGCATCTTCGGCGACGAGGTCGTGGTGAACCTCGATGATGTACATATTAACCACAACACACACGAATTGATAGTAGGCGGAGGAAAAGAGAACGGCTTGACACATGTGGCAACGCATCAAGGTATGACGCCCGAGGTCGAAATGTCGATCCGTGAGGAGCACGATAGACGAGAGAAAGAGGAGAATAAGGTACACAAAGAGCATGTCGGAAATGTGTAGCGAGTCGACTGATTGAGCAGGTCTAAATTAGATGAGGAAAGTAGCTCTTATACGAAGGAGCTCGCACACAGCGATGCAGCGCACAAGCAGCTTTTGGAGAAATCTTTCTTAATGCGTCGTTGGCAACTTCGTATATCAAAGGATTTATTCTTTTTCAGTGCAGCTCTGTATTGCCTTACTGGCTTATAGTTAAGGTCTTACACAATTATTCTACGCTGTAGTTCTCCTCGACAGGGTTGCAAGACATATGGCAATGATCAATGGAGTGCATCACTAAATACGCCTTTCCCTCGTAAGATTATAGGCTCGCTGCAACTCCCTAAGCAAAGTACATTACTACAGCGTGAATATTCATCACGCGAGTGGTTGCTAAGATCCTTGCCCTACAGCTGCTCCGGAAAATTTCGGCTACAAGATGTCTTCTTCCGCCTACCCTGCGTCGCGTTTCTTCACTCGCACCGATTTCCTTATCCATATCCTCGTCGGCTGCCTCAGACGCACTCATCGTGTCGCTCGTTCCAGAGCCGCCGCGCGATCGCACTGGAAAGCCACCAGGCCTCAGCTTCTTCTGCCTGTAGACCACATCTTCGAGCATGTTCTGAATCATGCTTGTATGTTTGCCCTTTTCAAACAGCAACCTGTCCTTAATGCATCGATGACTACAAGATAGTTTTCGCTCTCCAGGTCCTCCGCATACATGTGTTTATAGCCGTCAAGATGTATCCGAACATATGCGCGAGCTTCCTTTTTCTCCTTCACGGTGAAGTCAGCCGGCTACGAGAGCGAGTCTGCGGGCGGCGGTGGGGACGACCTCATTTACTGGTCATGAGCATGCATGACCGCATTCCACACTACATCACTCTCTTCCCATAGCTTGATCACCGTGCGGTCGTCGATGCCGACGAGGTTGTCGTTCGTCTTTACCTCAACGTCAACACGCATGGCAGTGAAGAAGAACTAGTTTTGATCAGTTTTGTTCCCATAGGTGACTGTTAGAGGATGCTGATACAAGCATATATCCGCTAGGAACATTGTGTGGAAGCCCAAAAGTACGCCGTGAGGAAGGTCAAGGAAGAGTCCGAAGGAAGCATACAAATTGTGATCTGGTCGTGACAGAGAGTTCCAAATCTCGACAAACAAGAATCGGGAGGCAAATACATGGGTACTTTAGAGCGAGCAGCTTCTTCTTTGTCTCCAGTGGTGCCACACCACCACATGACTGTCATTTGCATTGTAGTCTACAGCATATCTGTGTGGAGCAAATGGGGACTTTATTAGATTGGTGTTTCTCGGTCAATATTTCGCCGAAACGAGGCTATCCCTTGTCGTATGGTAAGTGCGGAGATTCTTTGAAGACCAATCAGCAAGGAGAAAAAGACAATCAGTTTCAAGCTTGCCACCCGTCGGTCCTTCTTGGCAGCTCCAAAATTAGAATTAAACGGCGCAAAACCGTTCTCTGAACGAGGCTCCGCCTTGCATCGCTAAAAGTCACCGCAGATCTCCAATGTTCCTCGTGTTCCATTTGCGACCTCACTCAATATGGCAACCGTCAAAGTCATGCATAGGGTTCGTGCTTGACAAGTTCCCCACCAAAAGGCCCTTTTGAGGTATTTGAGTATCTACACGGAGACTTATAACCTGAGACCTTGCGCAAGGCTGTCCACCATCGAGAGTGTAGTCAAGCATTCTTTCAGTATCACAACATGAAGACAAGTCAATTGGCGAGCCTCGCACTATTTGCACCGATTGGTCAAGCATACGTCTGGCCAAGCAAGTACGATGGATTGGACGACCTCTTGTATCTTCAGAGTGGCTACATCAAAGACGGGAGTCTTTCAGATCGTGCGTTACACCTCTACATCTACGACTTGGACTCACACCACAGCAGAAGTCTCAACTTGCGGCTTTGGCGCAGGAGCGCCAGGTATTCAGAAAGCTGCTGAATGGGTACGAACAGCTTTCCATGACTCCGTTACACATGATGCCTCGGCCAAGACTGGTGGTCTAGACGCCTCAATACGATTCGAACTCGACCGAGCCGAAAATCTGGGGGCAGCTTTGAACAACAC